ATGGGAACATGTTCCAAAGGTGAACTTTATCCTTTAATGAGTTTAACCATTGAGGCCGTTTTAATAAGAATGCATTTTTATTTATTGCAGAGATTTAGCTTTGGAGGCCCTGTACATTAAAACTATTACAGAAAGTATTGTGTGAGCTACAGGATTTTTACCTGTTTGCTTTTTCTATGCCAGCTTAAAAAACTTGCTCAGTTTTAGTGACTTTTTTTTGCAGAATGGCACAACAGAAGAAGTCACATCTGAAGAGGAAGAGGAGGAAGACATGGGAGAGGTAAGAAATACAAACATTGGTAATGTCCACTTTGGGTAAATTTGTGTGACTATCTCCAAAGAACCTCTTATGATGCCAAAATAATCTTATGCATCCAACACACTTCCTGGTGCATGTGATGCCTGGACCTCCACTGCACATTATTTCTTCTGATGACCTGTGTCTTGTGATGAAGGGGTGGGCGGTTGTAGCCAGAGCAGTTTTAGCTTTTAATAAGTGGAGATGGGACTCGCCAACCTCTGGAGTGATAAGTGTTGGTCGTCTTCTGCAGGGATCACTTTAAACGTTATTTTAATTAAAGGTTAAGTTCACCTTTTAGGGGCACATTACACCAATATTTAGGGAGTAACCTGTCCTTAGAATTCACTCCTGGCGCCAGTACTCCCTTCTCTTTGACAGTGGGAAGGGTATCTTCTCCCTGTACCTGCTGTCATGTTGAAAACGGCATGGCCGTGAGAATCTTCACCCACAAGGCCGTGTCATTCGTTCGTTTGCAGTGAATGAACCAGGCTACAAGTACGGTCAGCCATTGTGGTTGAAGGCTTGTATCTCTTAATGAACTACAAGAGTGATGATGAGTAATCTCATAGATCATTGATTGCAGGTACAATGCTTTACAGGCTGCAATGTAAAAGGTTAACTTCTCCTTTTGTTTTTGTTTTTTTTAAATTCAGGCACTGGTTGCAGTGAAAAAAGACTAGCATAGAAAGTGTAGTTGTATGTATTCTGTTTTTTTGAGATATGTAAAATTTGTCTGTCCACAATTTTTTTTTTTTTTTTTTTTTTTTTTTTTTTTTTTTTTTTAATTCTCCCCTCATTCAGACTGTTTTGGTGAAAGAAATGCCAAGTGGAGGGCAATTGAAATAAACCCTGCATAAAAAATATACTACAAGCAAATAAGTTTAACTGTAAATAGGAAAGCAGTGCAACATTGCAAAAAAAAAAAGGGGTTAGTCCTAGATCAATATAGATAAACTGATGTAGCGCTACTCACATACACATAATTAACATTTTCATTATTATAGTCAAAGAAGTGAAGACTAAATTAGTAGTAACACAATGTGCAAATAATACCAAGTGATAAGATCCTAATGTGGTCTACCAAATAACTAAATCGTGCTGTGATCCAAATGGATCAACAAGTGAAAGAAAGGTGAAACAACGCACATCTACATAATGTGTGAGACCATGTAATAAATTAAATAAGTGAAAATATCCTAAACAGGATAAAACTGTGATGGTGGATAATAGTCCAACTGGGACTTGAAAGTGGTGAGTCTATATCAATATAGACTCCACTAGAGAGATAAACACATAAACATGCAAGACTAATGAACGTGCATTAAAGATGCGATTTCAGATAAACTGATCATATATCCAGTAGTGCAACTGTCAAAAAAATTGCAACTCCAAAGGAAAAAAAAAAAAAAAAAATATATATATATATATATATATATATATATATATATATATATATATGTATGTGTATATGTACGCACACAACTTCAATTCTGCGGCGAACCGCACAATACACGGCTTATTTGTGAACCAAAGTCCAGAGTGGCGCTAACCTCGCCACTTAATCCAAAACCAAATGAACACTCGTTCCTGTGTATGGTGACTGTGGGTAACCACGACCAAGATCCAAAAGTGGCGAGATTGGCCTCTCGCCTTATAACTTCGACCCGTAGGGATCAAAGCATATTTGGGATCACAATATCAGATCCTCCAAGCATATGATTCCTCTGCTGCTCAGACCTCTCTCCACAAATGGTCTCCCTCTCTGGGGTTGCGCAATGGTGGTGGCTTCCTCTCCAGGTAAAGATATGGGGTGTGTGCCAATATCTGAAGATGTTATTTTATGGAGATTCATTCCCCAGCCAAAACTCATTCAGGCGACTGCCAAACCCTTCCTTGTAAGCCTGCCCGAAAGAAGCTCACTGATCCATCCCAACGATGCTGGAACACTAGTCATCCACCTCCATCTCTATGCATATCACACAGGACTTTCAGCAGCTGTGTGCCATCCGGGTATATTGTGTACCAGTCACTCGGCACTTCTCCATAAGTCTGAAGATCTCTGCAATTTCTGGCAACATATAATGGGCCAGGTTTGCTCCTGTCTCCTTTCTCCCCTCTCTGCCCAGGTAGACCTCTTTCTACTTTTTGGTTGGTTTACCAACATCACTATCAGGACAAGTCGGAAAGCCAGGGATAGCCGGTCTACCTGGGCAGAAAGGGGAGAAAGGAGACCGGAGCGAACCTGGTCCATTATATGTTGCCAGAAATTGCAAAGATCTTAGACTTATGGAGAGGTGCTGAGTGACTGCTACACAATATACCCGGATGGCACACAGCCGTTTGAAAGTCCTGTGTGATATGCATACAGATGGATCACAGCACGATTTAGTTATTTGGTATAGACCACATTAGGATCTTATCACTTGGTATTATTTGCACATTGTGTCACTACTAATTTAGTCTTCACTTCTTTAACTATAATAATGAAAATATGTTAATTATGTGTATGTGAGTAGCGCTACATCAGTTTATCTATATTGCATGTATTTGATCATTGGTATGATTTAGATGTTAGCAGCTTCTCTGCGAATATTTGTACTCAGTTGGTAGCTTAAGCGCAGGAGGTTCACACCACTACTCCTTAGTCCTAGATCAGCCCTGGCAATCTGTTACAGTCCAAGGAACTTGGGGCACTTGCTATATAACCTTTGTCTAGTGGCTGCCAGGTAGTCATCTGTCCTGTACTGTGCATTAGCAGCATTTTGTTACTTAATACTAGTTTTATATTGCTAGTGTATGGATCAGCTTATGGCTTCCAATGGCCTGCTTTCTCAACCAATAAATGTGACTTTTTCAATACATTTAACCACTTCAGCCCCAAGCCATTTTTGTTAAAATTTTTAAAATCAATACATTTTGCTAAAAAATGTCTTAGAACTGCCAAACCTTATATATTTTTAAAGAAGAGATCTTAAAAAAATTGCAATAAAACACCAATTTATTCTTTTATTTCCCTGAACATAATTTTGGGAAAAAAAAAAATACTTTTTGAATCTGATTGCAAAAAGCACAAAAAATTACCCAACTTTTTTGTAAAATATAAGATGTTATGCACAATAAATAGATACCAAACATGTAACATGTTAAAATGTACGCCTAGTAATAGCAACAAACATAAATTTTACTATTCACAGGCAATTCTTTTAAAAGCCTTTACAGGTTACCACTTTAGATTTACAGAAGAGGTCTAGAGCTAGAAGTACTGCCCATGATCTGACATTTGCGGCAATACCTCATATGTGGTGAGCATGTAAGCATCCCCTGTAACAGCAATAGATACATGACTGTTTTTTTCGGTTTTTTGTTTTTTATGGCAGGATCGGCGGTCTGACACACCAAATCCCTCCTCTGCACTTGAAAGCATTCAGAATACCAAGAGCGGTGTTTTTGAATGCTTTCAGATTTTTAAAAATGGCAGTGATGGTTTCAGATTAAACTAATAGTGATGCCCTGTGCAGGAGAGCTTGTACAAGCAATCGAGCGGCTAGTTAGCTACTCCGATTGCTTGTACAAGAGAGCCGACTGCTGGCTCTTAAGCGGAAAAAAAAAAACTGTGATTATAAGCAGCAAAAGTCCAGCGACATGCAGGTACATTGGTGGTCCGAAAGTGGTTAATGAAACCATAACTCAGAAATGCAGATGGGCAGAGGTTCTCCAATCTGTGAAAAGCTGTGCCTAAAAATTGTTGAACAATTTCAGAATGACTCATTGAAAAATTGCAAAGACTGGATGCAAGGGACAAGGCTGAAACACAATGTTGGATGCCCCTGATTTTTGAGCCCACAGGTGGAAGTGCATTCTAAACCGGCATGATTCTGTGATGGATGTCACTGCATGGATTTAGGAATACTTCCAAAAATCACTGTGAACACAGTTTGCTGTGGTATCCAAAAATGCAAGGTAAAGCTCTATCCTGCAATGAAGCAATATCTGAACATGATTCAGAAATGCCGCTGTCTTCTGTAGGCCAAAGATCATTTACAATAATCTTTTGCTATGTTCTGTATTATGGAGGTTCTCGCTGCCCGGTCCCTCTGACTGTCTCTGTATGCCTCCTCGACCTGGTGGACGAGGTGTTTCCGATCAATACCCTTCTCAACATATTCTATGCTCATGTGGCTTTGGCTGGTCATTGAGAGGTACAGGACACTGCAGACACACTGCATGCCATGCCTATATTGGGTAGTTTGTTCAGCCGCCATGCATGTCCCTTTACTAATCAGTTTGCCTCTGGCACCCAACACCCACATCACAGCCTGCCTCCTAAACGCACCCCTGCACTAGCACAGCCTGCATCTTGTGTCAGGCTGACAGACTATGGAATGCAGGCACACTGACACAACTTTTTAACCTTGTGAAAAGTAAGATCATTTCTGAAAGTAAGAAAAACCAGTCATGGTGCCTGCATAGTTATAGCTGTATTACAAAATGTTAAACACGCTTTCTATGTTCTCACCTACTTTTACCTACCTCCAAAAAAAGGTTTGTGCACAGATCATTTTTAGATCATGTTTACAAGTATACAGCCATATTTCGTATAGTATTGCCCAGTAAAAAAGCCCATAATGCAGTTCTTCACAGTATGTGCATTTGTGTCGAGGCCTGTTGTAGGCAGCCTGTTCAAAATTTTTCTTTTTTTAGGACATTGAAGATCTGGATCATTATGACATGAAGGAGGAAGAACCAGTCGATGGTAAGAAGTCAGAGGATGAAGGCATTGAAAAAGAAAATCTTGCCATTTTGGAGAAGATCCGAAAGAATCAAAGGCAGGACCACCTTAATGTGAGTAACCGTATTGGATGTCAAAACGTATAACACTTGTTACCCTTTTACAAAATGTATTCATGAAATTTTAAATTTAAAAAACATAACTAGATGGCGAAGTTATGATGACATTAAAGCATCGTGAATTCTTAAAGAAAAGTGCACGGAATTGGGAAAAACAATGTGGCCAATCAATGACTGTTATAACTACCTTAATAGGGTTCTCTCCTTGTAATGTCCCTTAGGTGATGGGATCCTGACCTGCTAGAAATAAGTAGCCCCTGGAAAAGGTTTTAGCCAAAGTGTAGAGTGCATTTATTTCCAAATCATGAACAAAAGGGGCTTCCTGTATTGAGGGACACACAGCTGCTTGGCAGCATAGAAATCGGTGAAAACTTTTTATCAAGCTGATATATAGACCTCCCCTTTCTTGTTTTTGTCCTTCTCTACAGTTGTAGTTCCGTGTAGACCAAGCATGTAGGCACTGGTCTGAGTTGAACATGTAAGGGAGGGGTCATCTTTACAAACAGTCAAAACTGCAGCCCATCTGTGCCAAAAATGATTTTTCATTAAACTAAAACTTACACAAACTTTCTAGTAACAGAGGCTTTTGCTTTTCTCGTATTCCACGTTATCAAAGTTTTTGCCTCAGTTTCAGTAGACCTGTAAAAATGTACAGAACTTTTTTTCATGCTTGCACTGCTGTGAATGTGACAGTCTCCTAGATTGTCTTGTTTAGAGTATAGTCAGGCTTGTACTAGAGGATTATGGGAAATACTGATGTATATCTTTTTCAAACCATGCAGGAAGTGGAGCTTGTTTTTTGTGTTGTGTCTCAAGCTCCATAATTTTTTACTAAAATAAGATTTCTTGAGTAATTTTTGAAGAAGGGAGGTGGATAATCTCAAATTAACTTTTTTTTTTTTTCACCTTCCTTTTCCTTGCATTAGGGTGCAGTGTCCGGATCCGTACAAGCTTCTGATCGTCTTATGAAAGAGCTCAGGGATATATACAGATCACAGAGTTATAAAACAGGTTTGTGTTTGGTTTTTTTTTTTTTAATATTTTGAATTGCTTCCTTTTAACACTCTTATCAAGTCCCTTTTTATTGTCATTACCTTCTGTGCCTTTTATAGGTCCACAAAAGCTAATACAGATTGGCCTGCTTAAAAAGCCAATAAAGAACCAGTAAACAGACTCTTATGTAAATGAACTACTTAAAGTGAGAGTGCAGTTTATTTTCAGTAAATTCTTATTTTAATTTAAGATACTACTGAAACTGTCACTCTTTCCCTCTTCTTCTTCCTTTTTTTTTTTTTTTTTTTTAAATAGGCTTGCTTTTCCAGTTCTTTTGTTGCAGTAATATGCAGCCTAGAGTGGGCCCTGTCACTGCAATCTTTTCCTCCTTGGCTGTTCAGATATTTGTTGTAATTTCATTGGTATATTTGGGGGGGGAGACTAGTGAGATGCATAGATTCTTCTTGAGAGAGACCAGTAACGCTTTGCTGTACGGTGCAGGAAGAAAAGCCTTCATATGTAATGAGCAAGTATGTCTGTCCCTCATACACACTGTATGATTACGAATTGTAGGTAGAAACGTGTTTTTTTTTGGTTTTTTTTTTGTTGGTTTTTTTTTTTTGGGGGTTTTTTTTAAAGACGTTAATTTAAAAATGCATGGTCAGCTTTTTATGTAAATAATCTTGCCCATACTTATTAACCACTTGCCTTCCTGAGGATTTACCCCCTTCCTGACCAGACCATTTTTTGCGTTACAGCACTGCGTTACTTTAACTGACATTTGCGCGGTAATGCTACGCTGCACCCAAATGAAATTTACGTTTTCTTTTTTCTCCCACGAATTGATCTTTCTTTCAGTGGTATTTGATTGCCTGTACATTTTTTTTTTTAATTTTTTGCGCTATAAAAAAGTGACCATTTTGAGAGAAAAACATTTTTTACTTTTTGCTATTATGTAAAAAAATCAAATTTCGTCATAAATTAGGGCCAAAATGTAATCCGCTGCATGTCTTTGCCTACATGTGAGGGGGAAAAAAAAAAAAAAAAAATCCCAATATGTGTAAATTAATTGGTTTACGTGAAAGTTATAGCATTTACAAATGGCAGTGTAAATTTTTGCGCTATAAAAAACCCGACAATTTTGAGAAAAAAAAACAATATTTTTGACTTTGCTATTAAACATATCCAGTAAAAAAAATTAAAAAAATCTAATTTTGTCATAAATTTAGGCCAAAACGTATTCTGCTACATGTCTTAAAAAAAAAAAAAAAAAAATCCTGATACGTGTAAATTTAATTGGTTTACATTACATGTTACATGGGAACATTATAGCGTTTACAAATGGCGGTGTATATATACTGCAATTTTTATTTTTACTAGTAATGGTGGCGATCAGCGATTTTATAGCGGGACTGTGGCGGGCATTCTGGCACTGGCGGAGACTGACTGTGTCACTGACATCCCCAGTGACACCAATACAGAGTACAGTGTCAAGTTTTTGTTTTTTTCTTTTTTTAGCACTGATCAAATGGCACTAGGCAGGAAGGAGTTAACATGAGGGGCGATCAAAGGGTTAACTGTGTGCTGGGTGTGTTTTACTATGGGGCCATGTGTTTGTGCTTTATTGTAAGCACACTACTTTGCATGGCTGTGTTGTGCACAGCCATGCAAAGCAGTGTCCCCGAGCTGACAGGGAGGTGAACTGCTTTGTTTACAAACAGTTCTCCCCGTTTGGAGATCCTCGGCAACCAAAATTGCGTATATATCCGTGATTTTTCACACCTGTGCCACCCTGTAGTAGTAGTTCTGCTATAGGGCGGATGGGAAGCGGTTAAAGAAGAAACCAATTTAATACAATTCCTACTTGGCAAACACAATCTCTATAACTTGGTGAAGGATGGAATATCACATGTTTTATGTATGTTGATGTTTGTATGCACTCAGAAACTGAAAGTGGTTTTTAACCACTTGCCTTCCAGAGGATTTAAACCCCAACCCCCTTTTCTGACCAAGCCATTTTTGCGATACGGCGCTGCGTTACTTTAACTGACAGTTGTGCGGTCATGCAACGCTGAACCCAAGTGTAATTTTACTTTCTCCCCCCCACAAATAGCTTTCTTTTGGTGCATTTGTTTTTTGTTTTTTTTGTTTGTTTGTTTATTGGGCTTTTTTTTTGTTTGTTTATAGCGCAGAAAACACAAAAAAATTTTGAAAATAAATTTTTTTACTTTTTGCTATAAACAAACCTATCCAGTAAAAACATTTAAAATCAAATTTCATAATAAATTTAGGCCAAAATGTATTCTGCTACTCATTTTGCTAATGAAAAAAAATCCCAATACGTGTAAATGAATTGGTTTATGTGAAAGTTATAGCGTTTGCAAATGGCATATATACTGGATTTTTTTTTTTTTTTTTTTTTTGGCGGCAATCAGCAATTTATAGCGGGACTGTGGCAGGCATTCTGACACTGGGGGGAACTAACTTGGTGTCACTAACATCCCCCAGTAACACCAGTACAGTGATCAGTGATAAAAACCATGGGCACTTTACGAATGGCACTGGGCAGGAAGGGGTTAACATGTGGGGCGATCAAAGGGTTATCTGTGTTTTACTCTGTGGGCTGTGTGTGCTTTACACTATAAGCACACTGTTTTGCATGACTCTGCTATGCAGGGCCATACAAAGCAGTGTTCAGGAGCTGATGGGAGAGATCTGTATTGTTTGCATACAGGTCTCTTCCCCGTCGGAAATCCTCGGAGATCGCCAAGTGCCGGTGGAGAATCACCAGTTTTGACCTGGTTGACAGCCAAGGCTGCGGATGGCTGCGCGGTTAGGGCACGCGCCCCCTACCCGGAGCTGCAAAATCGTGTGTGTGTGTGTGATTTTTTTTTTTTGCCCACCCGTGCCTCCCTGTAGCAGTATTTCTGCCATTGGGCGTCGCAAAAGCGGTTAAAGGGATGATCAGTAAGACTCTTCTACAGCAGAAAAGTATAGGAAAAAGGAGAAATAGAGCTTGTTAAAAGTGGAACAGGGCATACAGCACTACAAAAAGGACTGCCTTGGCATGCATTTGGTGTCCAAATGGAAATACTGCTTGAATCTCTTTGCAAAAAGCTTTAGTTGTTCAAGGGTAACTTCATCATGTAGCTATAGCCCTACATTTGCAAATGATGGCTGGCTACCATTCCATCCTATGGCAAGTCCCACCTTTGCCCGGAAGCATGTCCATCTTTCTGTTTCAAACTTCATGTACTGGTGTGTGGACCCCAACTACTTTCTCTGGCTTGACTACTTTGAATCACTGACCTGAAACAAGCCTGCAGCAGGTAAAGTCAGAAGTGCAGTGTATTTAGTCTCGGTTAGTGACTGAAGGTATCTACACCAGCGTCCAATTGACAGCCAGGTAAATGAACGCGCTGCAATCTTGAGCACCTTCTTTTTCACTATTGTCCAGGTGTATTGGTGACCAATTTCATCACATGTCTTTATATAATTTGTCTTTTTTTCCTCCATATATCTGTTCATATGCTTCATCCCAGGTGTCCTGTGTCCATTTGCTGTGCAGGTGTCAAAGTACATTTTAACCACTTGCCTACTGGGCACTTTTACCCCTTCCTGCCCAGGCCAGTTTTTAGCTTTCAGTGCTGTTGCACTTTGAATAACAATTGCGCAGTCATGCGACATGTGATTTTTTTTTTTTTTTTTCCCACACATAGCTTTCAATTGGTATTTACCCCACTTGCCTACCAGGCACTTATACCCCCTTCCTGCCCAGGCCAATTTTCAGCTTTCAACGCTGTCACACTTTGACAATTGCGCGGTCATGCAACATTGTACCCATATGAATTTATTTTATTTATTTTTTTTCACACAAAGCGAGCTTTTTTTGGTGGTATTTAATTGCCGCTGGGTGTTTCAAATTTTTTGCAATTTGTTTATAGCGCAAAAAGTGTTTCTATTATAAAATTTTGAAAACTAGTAATTTTTCTCCACTGATGATGCTGCACTGCTGGGCGGCACGGATGATGCTGCACTGATGGGGCAACACTGATAATCAGGGCACTTATACTCTCCCCGTCACATTTGCCGGTTATTGGCAGTACTTTTCTCACGCTGTGACAGCGTGAGCAAAGTGCAGCCGATAACCGGCAGTTGTATTTACATTGTGATCTGTGTCATTGGACGCAGCTGATCACGTGGTAAAAGGCCACTGTGATTGACCTTTTACCTTTTTATCACGTGATCAGCTCTGACACAGCAATCACGGACAGCGCCAGGGGCACGTTTTGGGATGACGTCCTCCCAGAACTGGACAACCACACTGTAGCCGTCTTTCGACTATAGCGCGGTTGGGAAGTGGTTAAAGCAAAAACATACAGAAAGGGTAAGGTGGTTTTTGAGCACTAAAAAAAAAAAAACGATTTACCGATTCCTATGTAACCTTTTTTTTTTTTATTTTTCATTTTGCAGGAATTTATTCAGTGGAACTTGTAAATGACAGCCTGTACGAGTGGCATGTTAAGCTGCTTAAGTAAGTGTTTTCCTAAACTTTTTCATTGAACTCCTCTGATCTTCTTGGTTGGATGCACCTCCTCTTTGCATTAGGATATGTTATGAAGTAACTATGTTAAAGCAGTAGTAAACTTTTGTAAAAAATAGAAATCAAAAGGGTCCCGGGTTGTTAAAACCAAAATATGCTAGTATGCACCCCGTACTAGCACATTATGGCATGTTTGCCTTTAAAATGAACTCCCACCTCTCCTCCCAGCAGCACATTATCACTGCTGACAGGGCTTTCATCTTCACCCAGTTTTTTTTTTTTTTTTTTTTTTTTTTTCAAGGTTCATGGGCTGTGAGTGCTTGATTGGCCAAGCCGCGATGACGTCACAGCGAGAGCTCTGAAGCAACGGCATGAGTATGCTATCCCTTCAGAACGCATGTGCTGGTGATGTCACCGACTGCATCCCGTGTGAATATTTCTTAAACACTGCAAGTTTAGGAGATATCCACTGACCTACATGTAAGCCTTATTATAGCCTTACCTCTAGGGATAAGTTCAAAAGCGGCACTTACTACCGCTTTAATATTTGGAACATTTGTAGTAAGTTTCAGCAACAGAATGTGGATCGTTTCATTACTAAAAAGTTATATGGACATGTACAGCGTATCTGTTGGATTTATTGGCTATTTGGTATAAGTGTAAACATTGGAAAGGTGCGTTATAAATATTTTTAAAATTATTTTAGTTACAATATGTTGTAATTTCCCTCATTCTCCTCCTTTCAGCATTCCAGCTGACTTTATGAACTTAGGGATGTTTCATGGTGCCAAACTTCTGATTGGCTAACATGGCAATATCCATTGTGTTTTATTTCTATACAATTTATAAATTCCTATCTTTGGAATAAATTATTGCTAATAAGGGTACATTCTAAAGATTTTTGCAGTTATAAAATAACTAGTTTTAAAGGATATTGTTTTTTTTTTTTTTTTTTTTTTTCTTCCAGGGTTGACCCGGACAGCCCATTACATAGTGACCTTTTGGTCTTAAAAGAAAAGGAAGGTGTAGACTGCATTTTACTGAATTTTTCCTTTAAGGTAAAGCATGTATAAAGGTCAAAAAGGTGTGTTATTTAGTCTTTAACCTGCACAAAGTCTGTTTTTTTTATAGTTCATGGGTAACCGAAAATGGTGTTTAACCACTTAAGATTCGGAAGGTTTTACCCCCTTCATGACCAGGCCATTTTTTTGCTATTCAGCTCTGTGCTACTGTAACTGGTAATTGTGCGGTTATGCAACACTGTACCCAAATTACATTTATAAAAAAAATCACACAAATGATTTTCATTTTTTTTTTTTTTTTTTAAAGAAAAAAAAAAAGGAATGGTTTAAAAACTATAAACCATTCCTTTCTTCTTTTTTTTTTTTTTTTTTTTTTTTTTTCTTTAAAAAAAAAAAAAAAAAAAAATCTTCATAAATTGAAACCAAAGTGTATTCTACTATGTGTCTTTGGTTAAAAAAAAAAGCCATCAAGTGTATATTGGTTTGTGCAAAAGTTTTATAGCATCTACAAATTATGGTTTATATATAGAAAATTGATCAATACTGATGGCTGATCTGTTTCTCCTCTTCGCTCTCCCTCTTCCTCCTCTTCGCCCACAGCTGTCGCATGGTACCTGGGCCACTCACAGCTCACTGGTATAGAAAGCAGAGCCGTTCATCACAGCTTTGTTGACATCCCCAGGCCACTTTGCATCGGGAGCCGCAGTCTGCTGTGTCCAGTGGACACAGCAGTCTCGAGTGGGGATGAGGAACCTTGGGGAAGCCAATTGGTGTTACAAGTGTTTGATACTTCCTATGTAAGATTTGGTCAATTTATTTTTTGGCATTTGTTTTATACTACAGGATAATTTTCCATTTGACCCTCCTTTTGTGAGAGTGGTGTCTCCAGTACTCTCTGGAGGGTGAGTATTAAGGCAGAGTATGGCTTTACTTTTGATTATCAAACTGTAATGCTTATGTTTTTGTCTGTGTCCAGTTCTCCTGATTTTGTTGCTAAAAACCCAGAAATGGCTGATCACCAAAAGGGATTATATTTTAGTCTTTTAGTGTGCTGGAAGGGATCCCCTTTCTGGAGTTTCAGATTAACCCTGTACATAGGATGTTACAAATATGCAGGTCAGATTTTTAAGTTCTGTTTTGAAAGAGTCTTTTGAAAGTCAGACAGCCAGGCAACTAGCATTTTCAAGAGACTAGCAGTGGGTGCCTGTTATGTTAAAGCTCTTAAAGACCCTAGGAAATTTCTCTCTCCATCTGCCGCAGCGCAATGGTTGCATATTCTGTTTGGCCTCTGTTCAGCAATGAGGTGGTGGTGGAAAGTTATGTCACCTGTATTACATAAGTGTATGGTTCCTAAGTGTACGCATTACAGCATCTGTATGTTGTAAGCACTAAATTTTCTTCCTTGCTGTTTTAATTTAAGCATCCCATATTTTACAAGGTATTTCAGTTGGTTGTTAACCTGTCTTTCATGTAGTGTAGAAATTGATCTGAAAAATGAAATACTTCAAGATAGTTTGGAGTCATTGTAGCCATGATGTGTACCATGCAGCCAGAGTAGGCTAATCTATGATGAAGATATACCAGAGGGTGACAAAGTAACATAATACATTGTAAAAAATCAATGATCTTGTATATCTGAGCCATATCTGTTAGACAGAAATGAAAAACCAAAAACTGTTTACAACCTGGATGATGAGCAAAGTATTCTTTCCTATTTTTAGCTATGTGCTGGGTGGAGGTGCCCTCTGTATGGAGCTTCTTACTAAACAGGTAGGTAATGTAAAGTAGAATTTGCCTTTTTTTTTTTTTTTTTTTTTTTTTTTTTTTTTTTTTTTTTTTTTTTTTTTTTTAATTCTCATGTTTCCATATGGCACCACTTGCCAATCGGCTTGAAAGACTGGGAGCTACACCACTAGCAGCATAGCTTAACTCATTTCCTAAATAATTAAAATTAAATATTTAAATGGTCACATTTTTATTTGTATGTTGCTACATATTTTTATGTACTAACTTTTTTTTTTTTATTCTACTGTGTGTGTTGAAATTCAGCTCCTAAATTGTTAAGCTGTCCCTAAATGCCCATGAAAAGTAAGCAAGGCTTGCTAACAAGTACTGCTCCAGAATTTAAGCAGTACTCATGATTATTAGACCTTTATTGTCCCCACCCCTTTTTTTTTTTTTTTTTTTTTTTTTTTTTTTTTTCTAAAGGTTGTGATTTTGGTTGATGGTATATGTAGCCCATATGCCCTTATGTCTCCTTTAGGGCTGGAGCAGTGCCTATTCAATAGAATCTGTTATCATGCAAATCAATGCTACCCTGGTAAAAGGAAAAGCACGTGTGCAATTTGGAGCCAACAAGGTGGGTCTTTAATCCTGTATGTAAATGGTGTGTGTGTTTTTTAAAAATGTGTAATTTTTTTTTTTTTTTACTCTTTTTAGAATCAGTATAACCTTGCTCGAGCACAGCAATCCTACAAATCCCTAGTACAGATCCACGAGAAGAATGGTATTGCTCTGAAAAAAAATATTTTAAGTTACATGTTCCTGGTTAGGAAAAATGTAGTAGCATAAAGGAAAGCTATGTTTGTAGTGTTTTTGTTAAACCGTTTTGTCAGATTAAAAAATTAAAAATATATATATTTTCCTTGGATTAAGAGGAAAGAACATTCACATGCAGGGTTTTATACTAATCTCAAAGTTGTGTTTTTTTTTTTTTTTTTTTTTTTTTTTTTTTTTTACAAATGGAAATTAATAGAATAACTATCAAACCCTTATATAGAACCTTTTAATCACATAGATTTGCAGACATCTCCTGTATTTCCATGTTGATACCAAACCCAATACTTTGGCTTAAAAACAGATGTTTACTTGTCTGCATCAAAGAACTAAACAATCTGAGGCATATGTAGGTGCTAAAAGAGAAGTGCAAGAAACTAGCGTGCTACTGTGGCTATTTAACATTTAAGGATTTGTAAGAAAATGATTTGGCCATCACTCCTCAGCATAGCCATGTATGCTTATGACTGATGATAATGCGCACATTGCCCTCTAACCATACAAAAAAAAGTTGTGAATATCCATTCACTTGAAATTCTGTAGAAAAGCATCATCTTTGCTGAGGGTAATTTGTTACAGGTATTTGTCACCAGCATTTTACATAGCTTTACTTATTGTGCATTCACAATTTCTGCCCTCAAGTAGTTTTTACAATATAAGGTCCATATCTCGCATGCATACATTATTATATTATTATACAGTATTTATAAAGCGCCAGTAGTTCACTCAGCGCTGTACATTACAAAGGGGGACAGAACATGTGACAGAACAATACCAATACAATGCAAAACATGAGGGGATCGAGGGCCCTGCTCTTTCGAGCTTACAATCTAGAAGGGACGGGATAGTGGTACAGGAGGAGATAGCTGTGGGGGATGGAGTGGTAGGAAGAGTGGAGGAGGTCAGCAAGTTAGCAGGGGGTGAGGTAGGCTTCCCTGAAGAGATGGGTTTTCAGGGTACGCCTAAAGGAGAGGAGAGTAGGTGATCTGATGGGTTGGGGAAGGGAGTTCCAGAGGATGGGTGACACCCTGGAGAAGTCCTGGAGGCGGGCATGGGAGGAGGAGACCAGGGAACTAGAGAGAAGGAGGTCTTGTGAGGAGCGGAGTGTGCGTGCTGGGCGGTACTTGGATATTAGGTCAGTGATGTAGTTCGGGGCAGTATGGTGGACAGCTTTGTACGTCAGTGTTAGGATTTTAAATTTGATCCGTTGCGCAATCGGAAGCCAGTGGAGGGATTGGCAGAGGGGGGTGGTGGAAATGGAGCGGTTGGAAAGGTGAATGAGTCTGGCAGCCGTATTCAGGATCGACTGAAGCGGGGATAGCCAGCGGCGAGGCAGGCCAGTGAGGAGGGAGTTGCAGTAGTCGAGTCGTGATATGATGAGGGAGTGGATGAGCTGTTTAGTGGTTTCTGGGGTTAGGAACGTGCGGATTTTGGCGATGTTGCGGAGGTGGAGTCTGCACGAGTTTAAGATTGGACTTGGGGCTGGAAGGATAGGTTGGAGTCCAGAATGACACCAAGTACTCTGGCCTGCAGAGCAGGTTTGATATTGGCGTTGTTGGATGTGATGTAGAAGTCAATGGGGAGTGGGGTTCGGGCTGGGGGGGAAGACAAGGAGCTCGGTTTTGGAGAGATTCAGTTTAAGGAAGTGGAGCGACATCCAATCTGATATGTCGCTCAGTAGGTGTGTGATTTGGGCAGAGACCGAGGGGGTGAGGTGGGGGGTTGAGAGATTTGTGTGTCGTCGGCATAGAGGTGGTAGTTGAAGCTGTGAGAGTGTATGAGTTGGCCAAGGGAGGAGGTGTAGATGGAGAAGAGAAGGGGCCCAAGGACAGAGCCTTGAGGGACCCCAACAGAGAGGGGGAGTGAGGGGGAGGTGGTAGCATTATAGGTAACGCTGAAAGAGCGTTGACAGGTAGGATGAGAGCCAGGAGAGAGCAGAATCTCTGAGGCCGAGGGAGTGTAGTATTTTGAGGAGGAGGGGGTGGTCAACTGTGTCGAAGGCCGCAGACAGGTCAAGGAGTAGGAGCACTGAATAGTGGCCATTAGCTTTGGCGGTTAGAAGGTCGTTGGAGAGTTTCAGTAAGGCGGTTTCGGTGGAGTGTAGGGGGCGGAAGCCAGACTGTAGGGGATCGAGGAGGTTGTTGTTGTTGAGGTGAGAGCATAGGCGGGTGTAGACGAGGCGCTTGAGGAGTTTAGATGTAAGTGGGGGCAGGGAGATGGGTCTGAGGTTGTTCGGGTCATTGGGGTCCAGGGAGGGCTTTTTAAGTATGGGGGTGATGTGTGCATGCTTCAGTGGGGAGGGGAAAGTGCCGGAGGAGAGGGAGAGATTAAAGATGTGGGTGAGGGAGCGTAGGATGGAGGGGGGGGGAGGTCGTAGGAATTGTGAGGGGATAGGGTCGAGGGGGCAGGTGGTGAGGCGGGCATCAGAGAGGATCTTGGAGACTTCCTCGATGGTAGTAAGGTCAAAGGTGTGGAGTGTTGGGGGAGCTTCAGTATGAGGAATGTAGGGTGGGGTGGGAGGAGTGGAGGTCAGAGCAGTGGTGGGGCCGTGGGAGAGGGGTGATGAGGGGGGACGGGGTTGGAGGGAGTTTGAGCAGTGACGAAATCCCTGCGAGTAATGTCGAGGGGGAGGGGGGATGAGGGGGTAGCTGTGTGAGAGGGGACGGGTTGAGAGGGCGTGTGAGTTGCGGCAATGTCCTTGCGAATTGTGTCAATCTTGTTTTTGAAGTGATTGGCAATCTCAAGGGCGGTGAGTGAGGTGCTGGGTGGAGGTGGGGTGAGAGAGTAGAGAGTTGAAGGTGGAGAAGAGTCGGCGAGGATTGGAGGAGAGGGCCTTGATGAGGGTCAGGAAGTAGGCTTGTTTGGCTGCGTGGAGGGAGGAGGTGTAGGTGCGGAAGGCAGATTTGTAGCAGGTGAAAGCTTGTTGGGATTTTGTTTTGCGCCATAGTCGCTCCAGGACACGACTGCGTCGTTTGAGGGTTTTGGTGTGATCAGTCTGCCAGGGCTGGAGCGGTCGGAGTCTGATGTTGCGTGTGGTTAAAGGCGCTAGTGAGTCAAGGGCTGCTGACAGCGCGTTGTTGTAGGCAGTCATAGCCAAGTCGGGGCTGGACAGGGGGAGGATGCGGTTGTGGAGTTGATCAGCTGCAGAGTGGAGGGGGGCAGGGTTAAGGTTGCGGAGGTTACGGCTGGTAGTAGTGTGACATTTGGAGGGGTAGGCGTTGGAGGACGAGGAGATAGAGAAGGTGATCAGGTTGTGGTCAGAGAGAGGGAAGGGGGTGTTAGTGAGGTTGTGGGGAGCGCAGCGGTTGGAGAAGACAAGATCAAGGATATTACCATCGGAGTGGGTGGTGGATTGTATGCACTGTGCAAGTGCAAAGGAGGAGGTTAAGTGGAGGAGACGGGCTGTGTCCGGGTTGTCAAGGTTGACAGGGATGTTGAAATCCCCAAGAATGATGGTGGGTAGCTCAGAGGAGAGGAAGAAGGGTAGCCAGGAGGAGAAGTCATCCAGGAAGCGGGGTATGGATCCAGGAGGCCGGTATATCACAGCAATCTTCATCTTCTACATATGCACACTAGGGCCAATTTTGACAGGTGCCATAGTTCATCACACAGTTAAGCAATCTGAGCCCTTAATGTGGCCAATTTGAGTTCTGCCTCTGCTAAAGAAGCATGCGGATTTGTAAGTTCTGTACAGGATATGGCAGCTGCATTTTTTTTTTTTTTTTTTTTAGTTGGAGGGTATAAATCTGATAATTGACTGGGTGTGTGTGTGTCCCAAAATAGCTCTTGGGATATGGCTTAAATTCTGTTTTCAAAATGGAATAAAATTTGTTACAATTTTAATGTCTTGTTTGTTTTTTTTTTTTTTTAATTTTTAGGCTGGTACACTCCTCCAAAAGAAGATGGGTAACTCCAAATTCAAATTGGACCAAGATTTAAACAAACTCTTATTTTCTACTACTTTCCAACACAGATCCAATATTGCCCTTGGGTCCTCTGTACAGCATATGTTAGCTATTAGATAAAGGAACTGTCAGACCTGTATATTAGACCACATCTGCTTCTCTGGGACTGAGAGCAGCTGCCTTTACTGAAGAGGCCACTCCAGATATTTTATCATCCTATTTAAATCAGATGATCTAGCTTAGTGCATCCATTCCTCTTTTATTAGACTTGTAAATTGCTTTCATTTCATTTGTTCATGTGTTTTTGGTTTTTTTTTTTTTTTTTTTTTTTTTTAGTTTTTTGCTTTAATTTTTTTTTCTTTTGCAGAATATGCTCTGCAAAAATAAATTTACTTTTGTATAGTATCATTTAAAGCCAAACTAATGTTTCATACATTTAAAACATGTTTTAAGAAATGGTTAGAAAGAAATGACTTGGGCTCTCCAACCAAAATTCAATTTGGAAACAAATTGCCAAATGTTGCAAGGGAGGGTAGATTGCAAAAGCCATGAAACATATATGCCTACTGGTCTGGGAAATATACACTGCAAAAGAATACTGGGGAATACTGGGCCTTCCAAACACCTAAATTGAATTGCTAAAACATTGCAAAAAAGTAAGAGACAAAAACATCTATTGTTAGATTTATTTCTTTTTTCCTTAACCTTTTCAATTTCATATTTGAAATGGCTACAATGCTCGAAGTTATAATTCCCTTATTGGAAATCAACATGGTTTAAATTCTGTTTATGCTGCCATCATTTTTTGCCTGATCCTGGGCTGTATATTCACTTTGGTGAAGTCCTCCCATAGGACTAAATTTTCAGACTACGCTCAGAATTGTGTCCCACCCACCCCCAGCCCCACCTCTTCCTTTCCCAATAACATCACTATGAGGTTTGAAGTCATTGAATACTAAGGTTTTTTTATTGTTTTTGTTTGGTTTTTTTTTTTTCCTAGCATTGCATTTTTATTAACGGGTTGTTGCAATTGAATTCTGTGAACTAAGAATTGGCACATAAAGATTAGGCAACTGTGTGTACATTTTTGAATAAAGATGCATCATTTCTGAATTGTATAATTCCGTAGAACTTGGGTTACCAAGCACAGTGGGCTTTGAAGACATTGTGACCTTGAAGAAAACACTTTTGTCAGCCCTTTTTTTTTGTTTTATGTTTTTTTGGGTTTTTTTTGGTTTTTTTTTTTTTTTTTTTTTTTGGTTTTTAATTTTTTATTTTTTCCCTGCCAAATTTGTTTAGTTTGTAAGTAAACGTTACTCCTATTGTTGATTAGTAAGGATTAAAGATGAGGTTTTGCTTGATCTGATGCCTTTTTGTGTTTAATGGGGTGAACCAAGAGTCATTATTATTTTTTAATTTTTTTTTTTTTTTTAACCTAGAGCAAAATTTTTAACTTCCCATTGCTCTAGAACAATATATACATATTCAAGGGAAAATGCTCCCTCTGGTAGTTGCTGACATTTCAAATCTAAAGCTGTGAAAGGTAGAATAGAACCATTATCTACTAAAGCTTGCATCCATGTGTGTCTGCCTTACAATATAGCTGGTTGTACCTTCTATGTTCTTGTACCCAGGTTTATTTTGTAGCATTCTACAATGAGTTTATATACTGGGCCCTTTAGGATAATCACATGCCCTGTAACTTGTATACGTTTACCTCTTGAAAAGTTGGCATACAGAACAGGTTGGCTCAAAACTGTGTTCTGGCCTTAACTTTCAATGTGACACACAGCTCCCATCAATACTGTTCTGTTCTATTTTTTGGGGGTAAAACCCAGGAAGTTTGGGAATCTCCAGCTTCTCTGAAAATATCTATACCTTTCAGCGTTTGACTAGAAAACCCCCTCTGTCCCATACACACACCCCAATGTTCAATTTATATTTAGTGCCTCTTAAATTTGTTTTTCACAAGGCCCTTGTTTTAACATCTTTCATAGAACCACACACAAAAGGCAGGAACCAGCAAACCGGTATGGTATTGACTTTTAGAGTTTAGAAGGTTGCTGACTTGGCATGCTTTTTGTTTTTTTGATTTTTTTTTTTTTTTTTTTTTTTTTTTTTGCCATTGCAGACTTATTTGGCAATGTACAGTAATCTGTAAACTTGCATCAAGTTTATGATTAAACCATTTTAAGATTTAACCTGTTGAATCTGAGTTCTGAATTATTTCCCTCTTGCTTGTTTTAACAATCTTTTTAGCATTCGTCAAATAAAAGCGTTTGAAAGAAATGTCTGAGTTTTTTACAGGACTGAAACTGGAAAGTGGTTATGCATGAAAAAAGTCGTATTAGGTGAAAGTCATGTTTTTATAGCAATGCTTTGAAAATTTTTCATATTCCGTGACTTTCAAATTGGAGAGGTTTTCTTAATGTCTGTAAGGTTGACTCCATACCTTTGCCACAGCAACACTCCTTAAACTGTGTGTTAGAGTGGTAAATGTGCATTAACATTTGTTTTGTAGGTGTGAATAGAGCCTTAGTGGGAAAACTTCACTCAATACGTATTCAGCTATACAAATTTCACCTTATGTTGGTGCCAAATAAAAATGGCTGTAACCAGCACAATATAGTTATAAGCTTTGCACTTATTTGTCATTCTCTATGTAGTTTTGCCTGTTTATCTACAATGAAATCTAGAGGTCATTGCAGAGCCATTTATCTTTTGTCAAAATTTTAAGAGATTTTTGCGTTTTTTTTTTTTTTTTTTTTTTTAAATGTTCCCACTTGCATTCTGTAACTGGCCACAAAATGATTCATATAGTGTAAGAAGCGAGGTTACTTGGTTTAGAAATTACAGTTGTATAGTGGTAGACTATCCACCTGGTTTTCACTACACCAGTGGTGGGCAACCTTTTTTTTCAACTGAGCCAAATCTCGCCAAAACCACGATTGAAATTTATTTTGAGAGCCACATTTTTAAAACTGAAAATACATAGGATGGTACACTGTTTTCAGTTTCAATAAGTTTTTATAGTAATTCATCCCCCATAGTGTAATTCATCCCCCATAGTGTAATTCATCCCCCATAGTGTAATTCATCCCCCATATTAATTCATCATATAGTAGTAGCAAGTAGTAAAGCCAAGTCCCTCCTGTGTCAATTCACTTACCTTTGCTCCGCGTGTTCCTCTCGCCATGTTCCCCGCGCCGTTCCGGTCTTCAGGGCGGACTGTGAGAGGAGCCTAGCTCCCCTCACGTTCGTCACGCTGCCCCGCCTACACACATCCTGACAGCCAATCACTAGCTATCAGGATGTGAGTGGCAGCGAGACTGGCCAATCATTGTTGGGCTAGCTGCAGAGTCCTCGGCCGCCCGAGAGGAGGGAGGGGAGCGGGCGCCCGGCACACAGAAGAGCCGCATTAAAATGTGTAAAGAGCCGCATGGGCTCGCGAGCCGCGACCACCACTGCACTACACCTATGCATTTTCTGTCCTAGTGCTACACCAATTTGTAATAAGACCTAAAGCTGGGTACACACTATAAGAAAATTTGGTGACTGATCATCCAGTTTCGCTTGATTTCACTGCAAGCTGAACCTTGAGGGTGGTACAAATTGTACATAAATTCTCAAACAAGTCACACAGTCTTTCGTATCCGATATTTACCGTACAAAAACAGTACACATTAAACAAAAATTGTTCTGTTCACCTACGAGAAACATTTTTGAGTTTTTTGTCCTTTTCGTAAAATTTTTGTTTGGAAAGTCTGAATCAGATGTCGAAAGTTGCGTTAACACTCTTAAGAAAAGCGAACAATTGTTTCTTGTATGGAATTTTTCTTCCAACTTTTTCATAGTGTGTACTGGACTTAACAGGGGCTTTTGTCTTTTTTGACTACCATGGAATGATTTTAGGTTCAAGTATTCTAATACATTTTAGGGACCATTCAGGAGCCATTGTTGCAAGGATGAAGGAAACTTTTACTGAGAGGCCATCATTGCTATTTTGGAAATGCTTGGCTACTTCAAATGCTTGTATTCATTTTGATTTTATTAATTCAATTGGGTTGATTAAAGGCAACTATTTTTTGTTTAATTTTGCAAGGTAATCTTTTCCTTGGTTACGAAAAACTATTTTTGCTTGCAAATGATTGGGTGGTAACGAAAGTCAGCAAAGCTTTACCTAATTCACTAAGCTAAGAAAATTCCCTTGCAAAAGGAACAGCTGGCTTCCTTTTTAGTAAATTAACCCCACAATTTAAACTATGCAAGTGTCCACAGTGGCAGCCTCCATTCTTAGTGCAAGTGTATGAAGGATGCGCACGTTCTGGATTCCCTAATGAACTCATAAGTATTAATGTATGTATATAGAGCAGGTTTACATCCTTGTAAGTCATGCTTAATAGACACATTTGGCAACAGCCTAGATTACCTCCTTAAAAAAAAAAAAAAAAAATAAAAACGTGTCTACCTTGACCATGGCTATCGGACACGTCAGGGAGTGTTGGATGCCTGGGTCCCCACTGTGTGGTCTGGTTCTGGTAAGCCACTAAAGAACAGAGAAGTGATGGTGGGAAGGACTGCAGTTGAGGATGTGGCATCTTGCACACTAGAAGGTGTTTGGTAGAAGTAGTTCTTTACAAATATGATGTTTGAACTTCCTGGCCACAGAAGAGATGTTTCCCTTGTCTTGTTTTTTGTTCCTCAGGATTGGCTTATCTTTAGGTGACTGAACACTGGGGGGGGGTGGAGCTTAATGCCAACCCTGCTTCACCCCTCCCACTCCAAACTTACCTTTTTAAAGTTTTTACTGGTTTCCTTAAAGCTGAACTTCTTTGGTGAAGTTCCGCTTTATGTCCTTTTTTGTTTTGTTTCTTTTGAGTCTTCTTTCATATAGGCAATCCTGGAGGTTGCATCTCAGCTTAACCATGCCTTGAGGGACTGTACAAAGACCTTGCAGAGTCTGAGATGCCCTGTAAGGTTAACTGCCACTGGACTCTAGCAATTG